TGCAGGGGAATAGGAGGACTACAGGAATTCTGTTTCAGTACTGGAGCTTGAACTCTGAGCTTTGCATTGTGGCTCGGCTTTTTTGTTCATGACTGGCACTTGGCCGCTTAAGCCATACCACCTGATTTTTGTTTTGTTTTGTTTTTGTTTTGCTGGCTAATTGGAGATAAGAGTCTCTCAGACTTTTCTGCTGGGATTTGCTTCAGGCCACAATCCTTCAAATCTCAGCCTTCTGAATAGCTAGGATTATAGGTGTGAGCCACTGGTGCCTGGCTCAGGGAACATTTTTTTAGTCAAGAAGGAATTACAGCATTGGTATGATGATAGGAGTGATCCAGTCAAGAGAGGAAAAAATGGCTATGTAGGAGAGATGGTGGTTGCTGGCTTGATAGTCTGTGTGGGTGAGTGAAGATGGGATCCAGAACCCAACTGGAAAGGCTGTGCTTGGCAGGGATCACAGACAGTTCACCCATAGCAACAAGGGGAAGGCAGGGACACAGATGAAGGCAGTGGGTGGATGTATTGTGGGAGCTTGTGGAAGTTACGTATTTAATATGTATTAGGTAAAATAACCAGTATATCAAACCTGTCATTTCATGGGTAATTTGCAAAGTGGAGAGAAAATATTAAGTAAATAATAGTGGGTTGTTATGCAGATAAGACATAAATGATCACACTTGAATGACTGGATTTGGGGCAAAGCTATTATAAGCAGTGTTAGGAGTATGTGTGAGACTGGAGTCAGGGAGAAGAGCAGGGAGATCATTACCTTTCTTTGGGCAAGAGATGGAGAGCTGATCTGAAAATGGCTTTGGAGGAGGAGAGAGAACAGACATGAATAGAGTTCAGGATGTAGCATTGCTTAGACTTGGTGATTAACCAAGGGGAATGAGGAACACTCTTTTTTCTGATGTAGAGCTGAGGAGATCTAAGTCCCAGGTGTGATGGACGCCAGCAAGTCTCGGAGAGGAACAGTTGTAGAGCTGACTTCATTTTTTTAGTTGCAGAGACAAGACATAGGTTTGGGGCTGTTAAGTCTTCTCAAGAGCCAGTGCCCATTGAACTTGCTGAGAGAGCTGATGAAATCCAGTGAAATAGATAAAGCAGCCCTTGCCTGGGAAAGCTCATGCCCTGGAGTGATAAAAAAAAAACATCCAGACAGTGCTAGAGGAGAGCTAGCACTGTGGATGGTACAAGTGACCTTGGACATTTATGGGATGGTGGCAGAAGGCTGGAGAGAGTGCAAGCTTTGCTGAGCAATGAGTAGGAAGTATGTGAGGCGTGTGGCCCAGGGTGGAAGGCTGGGACTTGGATGCTTTGATTGTGGGTTGAACCTCTGGTGGGCATGGCTCGGAAGGTGAATGGAGGAGTGTGGTGGTAAAGCTCTAAGGCCAATCTGTAATCGGCTAGATATAGGAAAGGTCTGGGCTGAGGTTGGTTTGGTTGGGGACAGAGAGCTCCCATTGCTGTGATTGCCATGTTCTTCAATCCCCAAAGGCAACAGGACCTGTACCGAATCCTCAAGGCCTACACCATCTACAGACCTGACGAGGGCTACTGTCAAGCCCAGGCCCCAGTGGCTGCAGTCCTGCTCATGCACATGCCAGCTGAGGTCAGCATCTGTGGTCCTGGCCTGGGGGGTGGGGGGGCTCTTGGCCTGTACTAGGTGATAGGGGAGCTTCCTACTCCCTGCTTCTCAGGTTCCATCCCTCCCTCCTCATTGTTGTCCTTCTTAGCAAGCCTTTTGGTGCCTGGTGCAGATCTGCGACAAGTACCTCCCGGGTTACTACAGTGCAGGGCTGGTGAGTGTTTGGGTACCTGGGGTTGTGACTTGCTATGGCTGCAGGGGAGGTCCTTCCCCTGCCCATCCTGGCCTTTCTATCCCTGTGTTCTCTGGACCTTTCCACTGAGGTGAGGATCAAGGTTGATTCTATCCTGAGGGCCACAGCGGACCAGGCCTTCCTCTCATGGCTCTTCCCACCTTCAGGAGGCTATTCAGCTGGATGGAGAAATCTTCTTTGCACTCCTGCGCCGGGCCTCCCCATTAGCACATCGACACCTGCGGCGGCAGCGCATTGACCCTGTGCTCTACATGACAGAATGGTTCATGTGCATCTTTGCCCGCACCTTGCCCTGGGCTTCAGTGCTGCGTGTCTGGGACATGTTTTTCTGTGAAGGTATTTAAGTGCCATCTAGGCTGTGAAGGGGCTTAGGTTCTGTGGTGACTGTCAGAGAGTTCTGCTATATTTCTGGTGGACCATGGACAAAAGGTACTTGTTGGGCCAAGGCTTCCCTATAAGTAACCTATGGAGTAGAGAAACGGGCCTGGGTCTTGTTTCAGCCAGCCCACTTTCCTCCTAGGAATCTGAACCTATAGCAATACAACCCCTTCTTGGGGCCTCAGTTTCTTCATCTGTAAAGTTGGAAGTAGATAGGGATAAGAACTGTGAGCCCTCAATAATTTAAGAGATTTAAGAGCCTAATGGCTGAGATCCTGGGCTTGGAACTTGGAACCCACCCCCCCCCCCCCTTTCTCTTTTTTTGTGTGTGCCCATCATGGGGCCTGAGCTCTAGAGGCCTGGGTACTATCCCTGAGCTCTTCAGCTCAAAGCTAGTGCCCTACCACTTGAACCACAGTGCCACTTCCGACTTTTACTGCTTATGTAGTGCTGAGGAATCGAACCCAGGGCTTCATGCATGGAAGACAAGCACTCTACCACTGAGCCTCCTTCCCAACCCCCCTCCCCCCATTCTCTTTTCTTCCACCCTATAGGAGTCAAGATCATCTTTCGGGTGGCCCTAGTTTTGCTTCGACACACGCTGGGGTCGGTGGAGAAGCTGCGTTCCTGCCAAGGCATGTATGAAACCATGGAGCAGCTGCGCAACCTGCCTCAACAGTGCATGCAAGAGGACTTCCTGGTACATGAGGTAGGCTCTCAGCATGCCCCACTGCTTTAGCCCATTCCCAGGTCCTCTGTATTCTGATTGTTTGAACTGGGGGGAAAAAAGATGGGCACTGGTGGTTCACACCTCTAATCCTAGCTACTCAAGAGGCTGAGCTTTGAAGATTGAGGATGAAAGCCAGCCTGGGCAGAAAAGTCCACAAGACTCTCCAATTAACCACCTAAAACCCAGAAATGGAGATGTGGTTCAAAGTGGTAGAGCAACAACCTTGAGCAAAAACGCTCAGGGACAGCACCCAGACCCTGAATTCAAGCCCCATGACCACCATCAAAAACAAAAACAAAAAAAAACAAAAATGAAAAAAAAAGGGGTGGTGGTGACAGTAGGCTTTGTCAGGGCCTTGCACTTGTTAGGCAGGTGCTGGAACACTTGAGTCTCATCTTCCTTCTGGTACTTATTTTCTATATCTAGGTTACAAACCTCCCAGTGACAGAAGCACTGATTGAGCGAGAGAATACAACTCAGCTGAAGAAGTGGCGGGAAACCCGGGGAGAGTTGCAGTATCGGCCTTCCCGGCGACTGCATGGCTCGCGGGCTATCCACGAGGAGCGCAGGCGTCAGCAGCCACCCCTGGGTCCCTCCTCCAGCCTCCTTAGCCTCCCCGGCCTCAAGAGCAGAGGCTCTCGGGCAGCTGGAGGGGCCCCCTCCCCTCCCTCTCTCCCCCGCAGAGCCAGTGCTGGGCCTGTCCCCGGGCCCGTGGTGACTGCAGAGGGACTGCACCCTTCCCTTCCCTCACCCACCGGCAACAGCACACCCCTGGGTTCCAGCAAGGAGACCCGGCGGCAAGAGAAGGAGCGGCAGAAACAGGAGAAGGAGCGGGAGAAGCAAGAGAAGGAGAGGCAGAAGTGGGAAAAAGAACAAGAGAAAGAACAGCAGAAGCAGGAGAAGGAACGGCAGAAACAGGAAAAGGAGAGGGAGAAGGAGCGGCAGAAACAGGAGAAGGAGCGGGAGAAGGAGAGGCAGAAACAAGAGAAGAAGGGCCAAGGCCGGAAGCTTTCCCTGCGTCGGAAGGCAGATGGTCCCCCAGCGCCTCATGATGATGGGGACAGGTCCTCTGCAGCTGAGGCCAGGCAGGACGCTTATTTCTGACCTCTGCCTGGGGCTGGACAGCATGGCCCCCTCCATTTCCCTCAGCCAAGAACAGGCCAGGCCTGGGATCCTCCCTCAGCCCCTTCAACAGGCTGTCCCTCGTTCTGAGGAAAGTGGCTTGATTCTCCCATTTTTTGCCAGCTGCTGGTCCCTACACAGCTAGGACAACCACAATGCATGGGGCAGCTACATTTCCTGGGGTAGCCATGACCAAGGCTGGGGCCGCTTGCCTCTGATTAGGCCCAGCTGGGATGTCTGTCTCTCCTGCCAATTCCCTCTGGGGTCCTTTCCTAGGTGCTGTCCTAACTGGCCTCTTGTCACCACAGGGGTGACTCTTGGCAGCGGCAGCAGTTTGCAGATTCTTACACAGCAGTGGCTCACATTACCCACAAGGTAGAGCCAGGTTCCTTTTCCCTTCTTCAACCCTGCGTGTTTCTCCCACTGCCTTTCTGGGGGCCAGCGCTCTCCTCTCCTCCCTCTACTTTTGGACATCTCTGTTGTAATTATGTACAGAGGATCAAGGTTGGCCCAGGGTGGGGTGCTCACTCTGTCCTTCATTCTCCTTCCAGTGTTCCTAAACTTCGGTGTATTTAAGGGGACATGCACTCAAATAGGAACTGTCCCCCTCTTCCCCTCCCGCACTTCTCTGGCACTCCCTCTTCATCTACCTGCTCTGTATTCTCAGGCCTCTGCTTTATCTCACCAGGACTCCTACTTTTCATCTTGTTCCCTTCCAACCCTCAAGCTCCTTTCTGAGTAAGGGTCCTCCCTTGAGTCCAGGGGATGGAACCCAGTGTTTACATTCTCTTCTGTCTCAGCCCCATCCCATGCGGCGCTTTGAGGAACCGGAAAAAGAACCTGCTGTTGTACCTGGGTTTGTCTCCTTGCCTTGTTATTTGATAGAGGAGGCTTATGGGGAAGGACTAGGAAGGGAGGGGGAAAAGCCAGGGCCTTGGTCTCTGAAAGCAGTTTGTGATCTCAACAGGTATGTAGGTGGTAGCTCTTGGCCCTTGGTCCAACTCTCAGTCTGTCATCAACAAACACTGGTCGAACTTCTGCTCCAGCTTTGTCTGAGAGCTGCTGCCAGCATTGTCATTGGCTTCCTGGAGCCCTCTAGGTACTGCCCGCAGCACCCGGATCTCCTTACCAATGCGCTCATGCAACTCCTGGAAGTGGGAGGGAGCAGCGAGAGCAGCTAGAAAGCCACTGTCTTCTGGGGGTGAGCTGGGCTCTTGGCCAGCTGCCTGGCACAGCTCCTGATACTGGGCTTCCAGGGCTGGTAGCAGTGCAGCCAGCCGCCTCCAGCTCACCCTAGCCAGTGCACACAGCCAAGCTTCTAGTTCTTCCTGGTTTTCTGCAGCTAGTTTGTAGGTCCTTCCCCTTGTGCCTTCCACCCCAGGAGTCTGGATGGTAAAGGCATAGGGTTCTGCAGCCTTAAGGTGGGGCTCCACTTGGCAGTTCTCCAACAGGATGAGGCCCAGGGGTGTGTGGTCTGCCTTGTGTTCGAGGTAGAAGAGGAGGTTTCCCCGGAGGACAAACCAACGCCGCTGATAGCTGGTGTTTCTAGTCCCCTTCTTTAGCAAGATGCCCTCCTGGTCCGGAGCCTGTGTTCTATGCCCATGGAAGAGACTGAGCACAGACTTGCGGTGCAATTTCATGATGATCCAGTGTGGGAGGAAGCCCTGGAAAAGAGTGGTCTGTTGCTTTGGAAAATCCTTCATGCTGCCCTCTCCCAGCTCACCCATGCAATCCTGGCCTACAGGGTTTAAGATCGGATGGTCCCCAAGGCTCCCCCTCACTTCCTAATCCTGCCAATACTTGGGCCACATTTCATCACCACCTAGGTGATGCTGGGTCCTCTTGGCTAAGCAGTGGGCTTCATCCTGCAGCTGTGGTTCAAGAGAGGTATTGTTGCCCTTTTTCCAAGCCTACCTGAGAGCAGGGTTCGAGGGGCTTCTGGCCTAGGCCCAAGGCACCGGTGTCAATGCCACCTCACCTGTGATGGCTTTCCTACCCCTGAAACCAGGAACTGGCCCGTGGAATGGACGCGGGGCAAATGATTTCCTCTGGGTCCTAAAGGAAGCTAGGTTCATAAAGTGCACTATGTGCCACAGGGCATTTTCTTAGGGAAAGAACAAGCAAGGTGTCATCTCAGGGAGGGCTGACAACTTGGACAGCAAGCGGGGTTTGTCGTGTGTGTGTGTGTGTGTGTGTGTGTGTTCGTAAAGGGTCTGGCTCTGTAACCTGGGCTGGCTTCGAACTTGCCATCCTTCCTCAACCTCACGGGTAGCAGGGTTGCCCACGGGCGGCAGCACTACGCCTGGCTCTCAAGGCGAGATTTCTAGTGAAATGGTATTGGGCGCCGCGCCTTTTCCGGCTCTGGAAGAAGCGCGACTCGAACCCTGGAAAAGAAAACGGGCAGGATGCCACGGGCCCTGCCCAGACTGCTCTCCATCCTAACCCTGGACACCCCCTAAATGGATGCTCTCCACGTTCCCGCCAGAGCCTCTGCGGCTGTCAGGGAATCCAAGTGACTTCCGGCCACCTGCGTGCGGGTCTAGGTGTAGATCGGCCCGCCCCTCCCATCCTCTGGAGGCTTCCGTCTCTTCTGGCTGGGGAGAGGCGGGAGGGCGGGCAGCTGCCCCGCCTCAGCCCCGCCTCTCTGCGCACTTCCGCCCGCTCTCGCAGTTAGCCCTCCGGCTCGAATGAAGCCATTTCCGGTCTCCTTTGGCGCCTTCCTCCATCCTCTTCCGGGTTATGGCGGCCTGGTGCCCCGGATGTAGCCTTGGCGAAAGCATCTTTCCTTTCTTCCTCCACCTCCCCGTGGGATCCCCGGTGAGCGCGGGCAGTTGGGACTACCTGAGTGCCCGTGGCTCTGCTGCCGGTGTGGTTTGTAACAGTCCGGGACGGCTGGGGGAGTCACCACGTGGATGGGAGTCGGCGCGGGGAGAAGCGGAGCGGCCGGGGCGCCGGGTCCCGGGTCTAGCCGGGCCGGGAGGGTCCGGGAGGGGGGGAGGGGGCGTGTCGGCCTGTCAGGCCCGGAAGCCCGACTCCCTTCTTCAGGGACAATCACAGGCGCAGCGATTCTCTCATCGCTCCCTTCCCCAGCTAGGCCTGTCTCTTCACCAGGAGCAATGCTTGTCCCGGGGGCCCTCTCGCGGTCAGTCCCTTCCTTATCTAGTTTCCTTACTCTGCATCCTTTTCCTGGACTCAGCTTGAAGAAATCCCCCTCTGCCAGTCATGCCAAAGAGGAAAGTGACTTTCCAAGGTGTGGGAGATGAGGACGATGAGAATGAAAACAGTGCTCCCAAGAAGAAGGTGAAGTGATCTACGTTGCATTCGGGGGGAGTAAAGCGTACGGGGGCGGGGCCCCAAGCCTGAACGAAGAGGAGGAAAGGGGTGGTGTGTCATAGAGTTTCCCTGCATTCCCGGAGTACTGGGTCTGAATGGTTTTCAGTTTGGGTCCAGATGTTGGGCTGTTTGGGAAGTCATCAGTAATATGCCTGTCTCACTGCTGCTACTTGCTCACAGCTCGTGGACCCTGTGGTTGGGGCAGGGGGTCCTGGGAGCCGCTTCAAAGGCAAACACTCTTTGGACAGCGATGAGGAGGATGATGATGATGAGGGGTCCAGAAAATATGACATCCTGGCCTCGGAAGATGTAGAAGGTGAGTTATATACAAGAAGTAGCTCAGTGGCAAAGCACTGGACTAGCAAGTGAAATGTCCTGGGTTCGATCCCCAGTACCAAAATTAAAAAAAAAAAAAAAAAAAGTAAACATGGACTCTGCTAGAAGGAAAGGTCAGGGGCCTTAGGAATGTGCAGCAAGGGAGGCTCCTGTCTCTGTTTTACATACCTAGCATAGGGTAACCTTTTTTTTTTCTTCTTTTCTATACAGGTCAGGAAGCAGCCACACTCCCCAGTGAAGGAGGTGTACGGATTACACCTTTCAACCTGCAAGAAGAGATGGAAGAAGGCCATTTTGATGCTGATGGCAACTACTTCCTGAACCGGGATGCTCAGATCCGAGACAGCTGGCTGGACAACATTGACTGGGTGTGGCTCAGGGGCTGGCATAACTGAGGCCTGGGGATGGCAAGTACTGGGCCTGGGCCCCAGTGGAGGTTTATAGGAATTTGTGGGGGGTTAGTCATGTCCCTGAGGTTTTTTGCTCAAGGCTAGTGCTGTACCACTTTAAGCCACAGCGCCACTTCCGGTTTTCTGGTGGCTAATTGGAGATAAGAGTCTCATAGACTTTTCTTCCCTAAACCATGATCCCCTGATCTCAGCCTCCCGAGTAAGCTAGGATTATAGCCATAAGCTACCAGAGCTCAGCTTGAATTTTTTTTTTCTTTTGTGCCAGTCCTGGGGCTTGACCAGTCCTGGGTGCTGACCCTGAGCTTTTTTGCTCAGGGCTAGTGCTCTACCACTTGAGCCACAGCTCCACTTCTGACTTTCTGTGGTTAATTGAAGGTGAGACTCCCACAGACTTTCTTGGGCTGACTTCAAGCTGAAATCTTAGATCTTTTAGGATTACAGGTATGAACCACCTGCACCCAGCAGGAAATAATTCTTTATCTTTCCTTTATAGGTGAAGATCAAGGAGCGGCCACCTGATCAGCGACAAGCCTCAGACTCAGAGGATGAGGACAGTGTGGGCCAGACACCAATGAGTGCCCAAGCCCTCCTAGAGGGACTTTTAGAGCTGCTGTTGCCAAGGGAGACAGTAGCGGGGGCACTGAGGCGTCTGGGGGCCAGAGGAGGAAGCAAAGGAGGCAGCAAGGGGACAGGGAGGCCTAGCTCCCCCCAACGCCTGGACCGGCTCTCGGGGTTGGCTGACCAGATGGTGGCCCGAGGCAACCTGGGTGTATACCAGGAAACTAGGGAACGGTTGGCTATGCGGCTAAAGGGGTTAGGGTGCCGGACCCAGGGAGCCCCTGACCCTACCCCTCCACCCTCCCTGGACATGTTCGCTGAGGAAGTGGCTGAGGGGGAGCTGGAGACCCCAACCCCTACCCAGAAAGAAGGTGAGCTTGGAGGGCCAAAGAGGGGTACTGTGGGGAGAAGGCAGGGCACTGGAGGCCCAAATGGCTTTGCCTCTTGTTTTAGAAACAGAGTCGCCAGGAGATGGTCTGGTGGATGTAATGTGGGAATATAAGTGGGAGAACACAGGGGATGCTGAGCTCTATGGGCCCTTTACAAGTGCCCAGATGCAGGTAAGCCCCTTTCTATATCCTTTGGCCTTGTCCCTCCCTCCCCTGACTCCTGTCGTTCTTCTCAATTCTGCTCTCTCTTCCTGCAGACCTGGGTGAGCGAAGGCTACTTCCCCGACGGTGTTTATTGCCGGAAGCTGGACCCCCCTGGTGGTCAGTTCTACAACTCCAAACGCATTGACTTTGATCTCTACACTTGAGCCTATTGAGAGCCCAGTTGAGTGGCCCCTTCTTTTCCGGACATGGTGGAGGAGGCCCCAGCGACCTCAGCAGTTAGGATATTGGAGGCCACTTTTCAATCAGTTTTCCTTTCCCTTAAATCCTTGGCTGCACTGATGGCCAAAAGCCAGGGGCGTATGCCATAGCTCCTCTGGCCTTGCCTAAGTCCTTGAGTGTTTCCTCCATGAAGTTCCTCCTTGGCAGTTTCTCTCTGATTTCTTGGACCATCTCACCTTTGTGGACCCCCATTAGTAGCAGAGTTCGAGCCTATCAGGTGTCTCGAGGTCCCCTTTCCCAAACTCTGCTCATTGTGTAGAAATCCTTTCACTCGCACCCTTCTCCAGTCTTCTCTGGAGTTCTTGTTCTGTTCCTCTTGAGTCTTTGACCCCCAGGGATAGAGGTCCCAAGTGGAGATTTAAGGCCTGGAAGGGCTAAGCTATCTGGAAGACTTTAGGACTCTGTTGAGGGCAAGCAGGAGCATGGTACACACTGGCTCCCACCTTCTCAAGCTCCGTAGACTTCAGCCAAAAGCGCTGTGAGCCTGAGACTGAGCTGACTCTTCCCTAATCTGGCTTCTCTTTCTCCCGTGGCAGTTTCCACGCCTCTTAAGTGAAGTGCAAACCCAGTGATGGTACATGAAAGGCCCTTCAAGGCCATCTGGACTAGCCATGCATTGCACAGGCACAGAGAGGGGGCAGGAACTCGCTAGAGGTCACACAGTGATTCCATTGGCTCAGACCCAGTGGGCATGTTTTCCAGACTTTGCTTGGCCACAAAGTCTTTTCTGCTTGGCCTTGTAGCCTCCATTCCCAAGCCCTGCTTGTAACTACTACTGGGCTAGTGTCTGAAGGAAACAGGTGATTGGGCTGGTCTGCTGCCAGAAACTCTTGAGTCTGGTCGAGGAGACACGGAAGACAGGTGTGATTTTATTGCCTGGACTAACACGTTCTTCCCCAACCAGTATTGCCTTATACCCCACCTAATTTGTACCAAGTTAGATTGATTATTCTGCTGTGTCCCTGTGGCTGAACCAAGTGGCTGTACGGGACTGAGGGAGCTGGCTGGTGCCCAGGTAATAATGGCTCTTAGAAGCTCTCCAAGTGTTGCTAGTATGCCATCAGCTGAAAACCCCTGAGCAGCCTCACTCCTGTGACTCGGCTACTCCTGAAGAGAGAAGACACCTTCTTGACCCTTCTGGGGTAACAGCTGATCTTGTGTGGCTTTTGTGGAGACGGTTAGTTGCAGGAGATCTGTGTACCAGAGTTAAGAGGCTACCCAGGAGTCCCAGAGGAGCAGGGAGCAGCCTAGAAACAAGGAGAGTCAGGGAGGGAGGGGCGGTTTGAGGCTGAGTGGGGTCTCGATACTCTTGTGAGGCCTTCATCTTCTATATTTAGGTCCTTTCAGTGCCAGCCTATGCCAGAATTTGACTTGCCCAAGAAGCCATCTTTGTTGTCAGACCTGACTGTTAGTAAGAAAGAAAATCCTTCCAGATAAAACTGGAAAGTGTCTTTGATTAAAAGATACCTTGGTTCTAGAAGTGTTTAGAAATGAAAAGAAATACAATGGTCACCTTTGTAGCCCCAATGACTATTCCCCCTCTCCTCAAATAGTGGGGATTGAATCCAGGGCTTTGCACTTAAGCCACACAACCCCCTGCGACCCCTCCCCTTCCCCAGTCCTTTTATTTGTGCTTTTTGTTTTTGAGATTAAAGTCTTACTAAATCCGCCTGGGCAGGAACTTGGGATCTCCCCCCCCCCCCCCCCCCCCACTTGCTGAGTAGCTAGCTGGGATCACCGGCGTACACCACCATTCCAGGCTATCTTGGGAAGTGGGGAGTGTCCGTGTTTGATGGTGGATGGCTGCCTAGGATTCCTGCCCCTGGTGTCCAGCAGCAACTACAGACTCCACGTGTTCAAGGCTGACTTCATCTCACAGTTTCACCAATGGCACTGGGGGGTGGCCAGAATCATGGTTCACAAAGCTACCCACGTGCCGAGCTCCAGGCCTGTGACTATTACCTTCATGGTATAAGAGAACTTGCAGACAAACGATAGTGAGTTTTGAGATTATTTGAGGTGATTGATGTGGGATAAGGGTCTTCTCAGTGGTCCTTATGAGTGAAAGAGATGAAGTTGAGAGGCCCCCAGCAAGAAAGGGGAGGACATTGCTCTGCCAGCTGTGAAGATGGAGGAAAGGGCTGTATGCCAAGGTGTCCTAGAGAAGCTGGGGAAGGCAAAAAGTACACTTTTTTTGCCCCAGACCTTCAAGAGCATAGCCCCTTGAGAAGGCTAGTCCAGTGAAACCATCTTGGACTTGGCAAGAATAGTAAGATAATAAACTTGTGTTGTTTAAAGCGGCTAAGTTTGTGGTCATTTGATACAGCCTCAGTGTGTAGTAAATCCACATCTGGCCAGCTGAGTGCCTCTCCCCTGGGGGCCACTGTGATCATAGGCTCTCCCTGTGCTCAAGCCGTTTCCGCCTACAACTGGGCTTACCTTTTGCCAATCTTCTAGATTTACAGAAAATTTAGAATACTCTAAATTCACTTAGTTTCCTCTGTTAACATCTTAAAATAACATGTTTGCCACAACTGACAATTCTAACGTTGCTACTATTTTTTTCCAGTCCCAGGAAAGGGTGGAGTCAAACTTGAAGGCTCACAAATTCTGAACAAACCCTCTACTACTGAATTGTCCTCAGCCCAACATTACTGTGGGGTTTTTGTTTGTTTTGTTTTTTGGTGTCGGTCGAGGAGTTTGAACTCAGGGCACTGTCCCTGAGCTTTTGTGCTCAAAGATAATGCTTTGAGCTATAGTTCTGACTTTTTTGGGGAAGTGGGGGTGATTAATTGGAGTTTCACAGCCTTTTCCTGCCCTGACTGGCTTCAAACCACAGTCCTCAGATTTCAGCCTCCTTAGTAGGATTACAGGTGTGAGCCACTGGAGCCCAGTCCAGCATTACTGTTTAAAACAGCTTTATTGAGATGTACTCCACCCATTTAAAGGACACAGACAAGTACCCCACATCTAACTAGACTCTAGACTTTAAGAAATATTCAGAGTGAGCCAGGCACCTTTGGCTCATACTCAAGAGGCTGAGATCTGAGGAGCTTGGTTCAAAGCCAGCCCAAGCAGGAAAGGCCATGAGACTTACTGTCAATTAACCACCAAAAAATACCCGGATATTGAGTGTGGCTCAAATGGTAGAGCACTGTCCTTGAGTAAAAAATGGACAGTGCCCAGCCCTGAGTTTACACCCCAATGCCAGCAGTAAAACAAAGTACACATTTTATTGCCTTTTAGTGTAATCGTAGAGCGACAACCACAATATAATTTTAGAACTTTGTACCATAAAAGAAACCTTGAGGCTGGGCACCGGTGGCTCACGCCTGTAATCCTAGCTACTCAGGAGGCTGAGATCTGAGGATGGAGGTTCAAAGCCAGCCCGGGCAGGAAAGTCCGTGAGACTTTAATAAGCCACTAGAAAACCAGAAGTGGTGCTGTGGCTCAAGTGGTAGAGCGCTCACCTTGAGCTAAAGAGTGTAGGGACAGTACCTAGGCCCAGAGTTCAAGCCCCATGACTGACAGAAAAAAAAAAGCCTCAGTACCAATACACACACACTCACACAAAACCCCACAAATGATGGCGTAATAGAACCAGCATTAGTCCTCTTGACCCTCAAAGTGAGCTCACCACACTTACGACTTTAAACCACACCCAAGTGTTGATTTCTCCCCAATTTCATCTTCAGCATAGACCTTTTTTGTAAGCTTAAAAACTGGCATCTTTGCATTGTTTTAGTGGGCATACCAAAACAGCATGTCCCCAAATGTGCTCTTACATACACCCTGCAACCCGCAGCCCTCCCCTATCAGGTGGAGAGTCAGAGTAGATAGATAAGGAGACAGAGAAGTTAAAATGAGTAATTATTAAAGGGGCCAGACTCTCACATTAAAACTGGGAAATAGAAACTAAAAAACAACCAGTTACAAGAACAGGAAATATGCAGAGGCTATCTGTGTCTGCCTTCGTTGAGACCCTAAGAAGCTGCAAACTTCTTAATGGGTAAAGAGAAAATTGGGCCTAGCACCAGTAGCTCATGCCTATAATCCTAGCTACTCACAAGGCTGAGATCTGAAGATTCCATTTCAAAGCCATTCCAGCCACGTAAATACCTGAGGGCTCTCATCTCCAATTAACCAGCAAAAAGCCTGAAGTGGAAGTGTGGCCCAAGGTGGTAGAGCATCAGCCAAGTAAGAACAAGAGGCCCTAAGTTCAAACCCCAGTACTGGTACCAAACAAAGAATTTGAAGGCAAATCTGGCTAAGGAAAGTCTCCAAATCATCTGTTGTCTCTGTGTTTTGAGTAGTTCTCACCCACCGTTCCAACCCAAGCAAGTGCCTTTTTGTTGTTGTCGGTGATGGGGCTTGAACTCTGGGCCTGGGTACTGTCCCTGAGCTCTTCAGCTCAAGGCTGAAGGCTCAAGGTTCTACCACTTGAGCCACAGCACCACTTCCATTTTTCTGGTGGTTAATTGGAGATAAGAGTCTCACAGACTTTCTTGCCCTGGCTGGCTTTTAACCATTGTCCCTCAGATCTTAGCTTCTTGAGTAGCTAGGATTACAGGCATGAGCCACTGGTACCTGGCCCTACTTTATTTTGTTACACTAAAATAAATCTCTAATAAAACTTTCAGCTGTGAGATTGTTGTGACACTTTGAAATGCTTTTTTTTTTTTTTAATGTGTGAATCTCAAGAATGGTGTGAATCTTAATGATTTTATATGAAATCTGGGAAGCTAAGTGAGCCCCTTATTTATCTTCTGGTGATCAGAACTCATCTATTGCTGCAGTTGGTCTTGCCAAAATCTTGGTAGGTGGCCTCTATCCTGTCTCTTGCAGCCCCTGATTCAATCTGCTAAAAAAAAAAAAAAAAACCCTGTTGGTTTTACATTTAAAAGATACTCTGGGGGCTGGGAAGATGGCTCAGTGGTAGAGTGCTTGCATTGCATGCATGAGGCCCTGGGTTCGATTCCTCAGCACCATATAAGCAGAAAAAGCCAGAAGGGATGCTGTGGCTCAAGTGGTAGAGCACTAGCCTAGCTGTGAGCTGAAGAGCTGAGGGACAGCGCCGAGGCCCAGAGTTCAGGCCCCATGACTGACCAAAAAAGAAAAAAAGAAAAGAAAAGAAAAAAAACATTCTGCTTCTGATCACTTCTCTCCACAGCTCTTATCAGCCTGATCTAGGTCATCTGTTACCTGGACCATGGCAGGAACCTTCTCCCAGGTCTCCCTGTTTCTACCTTTGTCTCTTTTCCAAGTCATTGTCCTCCAATAGCTCCCCATTAACTCAGTAAAATTCCATCTGATGACCCAAAGTCTGGGCCCGTGTCTTCTTGGTTCCTCCTCCTGGTATATTTGTTTATAGAGTGTCTCCCTCAGGAGAAGGTCACCTCCCGGAGGACAGCTGTTCCTGAACACAGGTCCAAAGCTCATCCTATGGAAAAAAGCAATGAGAAGAGCATTTGAGAGAAAGGAAGACTGTATTCAGTGGCCAAAGAATAGAGAAAAAGGAGCTTTGCTCACAATCCAACTTTTTGATGTTGCTGAGGAGTCACAGACAGAGAATAGGGATCACAAGGGAGAGCTATGCTAATAGAGTAGAGGGATAGGCATTTTCTTTTTTGAATAATCAGGAAGCTTCCATGAACCAGGATGCCACCTCTTTCCACATCTTTCCTCATCATTGGGTTTTGGGTCATTGTGACTGATGTCTTAACCTTGATGGGGAAAGAGAGAGATTAGGCAATTCTAGGTCAAGTTAACACTGTATTATATAGCTTCAGACAAAACATTTCAGTGATCAACATGTTGACGTGCAGAGTTGAGTAGCATCTCACCCAAAGTTAAGGCAGGAAAGGGGACAAGACCCAATATGAAGGTAAAGATGTCAGCTCTCTCATTCCTCCTCCAGTCACCCTCCGATGTCCTCAAAGTCCAAATGAGGAGTTCATGTTCCCAAGAAAAGCAGCCTTTGACTGCCTGAAAAGTAATCCAAGCAACTATTATCACCACCACCAACCTATCAGAAGAGTTATCTACAGCAAAGCTAGTGGAGGATTTAATAATATATCCTCACCCAGCTCTATGACCGCCAAAAGGAGTAGGATTTTGAGGTCAACTCAGAGGATTCACTTAAGGTTTTCCTGAGAACAAGAAGACTTCGTTTGGTTCTGTTTTTTTATGTTTTGGCCAGTCCTGGGGCTTGAACTCAGGTCCTGGACACTGTCCTGGAGCCTTTTTGTGTTCATAGTGCTTTACCACTTGAGCCACAGTGCCACTTCCAGCCTTTTCTGAATAGTATATTGGAGATGAGTTTCACTGACTTTCCTGTCCACGCTGGCTTTGAACTGTGATCCTCAGATCTCAGCCTTCTGAGTAGCTAGGATGACAGGTATGAGCCACTTGCACCCAGCTTTAGTTCATTCTTATATCACATTCTTTTTTTTTTTTTTTCCCCGTTGTGGGGCTTGAACTCTG